AGCCCATCTGACCACCTTGAAGGCTGAATGGATCAGTATCTCTAGGTATACTTATGACCCCTTGGCAACACGCTGTTACAGGAAACCGGTTGGGAAGCTCTGCTTTATATAGCAGTCTGATGGCCCATCAGGTTTGGAACAACATTTATAACAAGTCTTCTGTGTTTCCAGCCAAAATCTGTTGTCTACCTTGATATGATTTATTAACACTTTCAAAATAATATCCTTATTATTTACTGTGTCTTTGTGCAAACCCAGAGAGACCCTGCTCAGATATATCTTCAAAAAAAGAATCTGGACAATCTGAGGATCTTACAAAAGATGACACTGATTCATTACCTTGGTGGCATTATACTGATCTGGCAGGAGGAGCAGGTAGTACCTAGCACTCTACATACCTAGTACCTAGCCTTGGTAAGGTACTCCTCGAAATTTGGAGATGAGCCCTATGAAGAGTCAGGGGCCTTCTATATTAAAGCAGTCAGGAATGTCTCATCCCAAGTAGAAGACAACTGACTACATCTTGAATCTTCTCAGCTAAAGAATGAAGCACAATAGTTGAAAGACCTCTTCGGGATCCAAAAACAATGGATTCTACACTTAGGAATACTGCTCTGGTCCATACACTGAGTAACAAAGAAGTCTGTCAGCTTTGTATGGGGCTTGGAGTCTGGCCTGCAGCGTCATTGCCAGGCAATTTTGTGACCTGGTTGTGCTAGAGATGTTGGTAATGCGGGGAAAATGCAGTTTAGATTTTATGGAAGGCTCCCGTGGGAGAAATATAATGCAGTTATCTGGACTTCTGAAGCAAGATCATGCTTTGGATAAAACACCTTTTGAAAGATGGCTCTCTGAGCCCAAATAGTGATTGAACACTTGACAAGGTGATACCAAGTAATCATGTCTCTAACTGCCCATGATGACATAGGTCCTCTTGAATCTTCAGTCATAAAGTCGTGTGGGGCCAGAAAATTCTTTGGGAAATGGAAATGATACACCTGGAACCAAGTCTGAGCAAGGCCAGACAGCATGAGCCCAGAGCCCATGTTCTCCACCACAGTTGTGTCAGGACCCCTCCATCTCACGTTTCAGCAAACTGAAGAGGAGGAAATGATCTAGCTTGGTTTACAGATAAATTGTCTCTGTATGGGGGTGCAAACCAAAAAGGGACAGCAGTTGCATTACAGACTTGCACTGGCCTTGAATGACAGTGGAGAGGGAAAATCTTCTCAATAGGAAGACTTTTGTTTGACTAATAGTATCAATTGAGGGACACCTGAAAGTTATTCCACCTGAATAAATCCCTTCTGGAACTTCAGTCTTAGCATTTTATTCTTTTTCTAAAGTAAAGTACTTCTAAATCATTATTTAGATTTTTCTAGATACTTCTAAAGTACTTCTCCCTGAGTGTCCCCTAAATGATCTCCAGGGCCTTCATCCACTACCCACTCAAAAGGGAAACTCTGAGAATAGTATGTTTTATTGTGACTGCTGCAATACGAACAATTTTATTAATTTAGCCAATGGTTATTGTTTAGCAGCTCATATTACTGGTGGGAAAGGACACAGCACAAATCAGTTGATTGGAGCCAGCGATACAAGGGAGATCCTGGGAGAGGGTAAAAAGTAGAGGCAGATTGGGGACTCAAGCAGATTTTGATTTCCTCTTAAATGTAACTAGGATGAGTCATAACAGGGACCTTATCCTTTCTCACCTTTGAAATGGTCTATGCTGTTTACCTTAGTACCGACCTTAGAGGCTGATGAAATTTGATCTTTGTTATGAGACACAGTTGAGGACTTATCTTTATATTTGTCGTGTGTGTGTGTGTGTGTGTGTGTGTGTGTGTTTGTTTGAACAAAATAAAATATGTCAGCTACTGTGTAATGCTTGGGGAGGTAGCTTATGCCTTTTCATTTCTGAGAAATAATGATGGTTTTTCTGACTTGTTCCCAATAGTAGTAAAGCTTCCTTTATTCTTGCAAACAGACTTAGAATTATTCTCCATGAAGGGTTTACTTTTTGACCTTATGTCATTTTCTGAACCAACTAAGTGGCTCTTTCCACAGAACCCTGCCACTCTTCTGAACTCTGATTTCTAATCATAAAATAATATGTCGATTGGGTTTGCAGCAACTTTATCAATTAGTGGCATGATAGAGTAGACTGTCATCACGAACTAGGTCCTTTCAGAGAGCTACCAGTATAATTGGGTATCCCTCTAACAGCAATTCTTCATCTATGACTGATGTTGTAATTGATGCTTACCTGAACTACAGCACCTGTTCAGTACTTTCTGTGCTGAACTCTCCATTTTAACTTTTTAAAAAATTATACAAAACCCTAAACAATGTAGCAGTTATACATTCAGTGTCTACTAAATTAAGAAAAATACACGTGAGGGGTGCCTGGGTGATTCAGTGGGTTAAAGCCTCTGCCTTCAGCTCAGGTCATGATCCCGGGGTCCTGGGATGGAGCCCCACATTGGGCTCTCTGCTCAGTGGGGAGCCTGTTTCCCTGGCTCTCTCTGCCTGCCTCTCTGCCTACTGGTAATCTCTGTCGGTCAAATAAATAAATAAAATCTAAAAAAAAAAAAAAGAAAGAAAAGAAAAGAAAAAGAAAAAGAAAAAATACATGTGGACAAAAGCTATTATGAATTCAATGATACTTTTACATGTATTTACATGTAACATGTATTTTAAGTAAGGATACATATACATGAGAGACATTGTATTTATGTTGTCTACGATCTGGGGGGTAAGTGCTTTAATTCCTTGCAAAAGTTCTGCTTCCACTCCTTGACTGAAGCAGACAACTTGGGAACCAGAGGTCATCAGAATTAAGAGACAAGGCTCAGCAACATATTTCAAGGGCAGGTTTTGCTGTGCAGTCTTGCAATAAAGCCTCTTTCCATCACCAGTTTGTCCTGTTCCAAATGTTTCTAAGGCCCCTGTGACAGTTTGGTAGGCAGCCAGCCAAGAAGTTAGGAGCTTACTTGTGTAAATAATTGAGAGATAGATGAGGGGAGCCATGCTATAGTAATAGTCTAGTTAGTTTGGGGGGAAGTTTTTTTTTTTTTAATCAAAAGACTTCCTTTATAAAGGGCGATAAGGAGAGTAGGTAAACAAGAAAGAATAAATTTGAAGTATATTCTCCACCTACCAATATGTACAAGAGTTTCAAATCATCACTGGATAGTATTTCTGCAATTTTGTCTGAAAAAAACAGAAGTCTAGTATATATTCTTAAGTCTCCCCAAATGATTGTCCTTATTATTTATGAGTGTCAGGGTAATTTTATGCTTGCAATTGAGAAGACACATGTTTCTATGAAGGCAACATTAATGACTTACCATCAAAGGGACACAAGCTTTGCGCTCTTCTTAAGGAGTGACTGTGCGGATGGGTCCTTAACCGTGAGCCTTTGAAGGGGGTCAATCGACCTGTCCCTTGACATATCATCTCAATCACAAACAAGCATTCTTTTTTTTTAAGATTTTATTTTATTTATTTGACAGAGAGAGAAATCACAAGTAGGCAGAGAGTCAGGCAGAGAGGGAGACGCAGGCTCCCCGCTGAGCAGAAAGCCCGATGTGGGGCTTGATCCCAGGACCCTGAGATCATGACCTGAGCCGAAGGCAGAGGCTTAATCCACTGAGCCACCCAGGCGCCCCACAAACAAGCATTCTTCAACAAAGACCTTCATATTCCTTTCAGGCTCTTTTACCTTTAACTACCCCTGCCCCCAACCAAATTCTCCGAGCTCTATCTGAAAAATATTAAGGCACAAATGTGAAATAGCTTAATTTTGTGTAAAGCATTTTCAAACTGGTTTATTTATAAAATATATAACATGTAATGTTTATGAACCTCTATTTAATTAGCATCTCTCCTTTTCATTTCATAAAACAGATTTGTACAGAATGGTCTATGAAAATTGACTACCTAAGCAGAAACTCTTAAGTGAGTCAAAAACTTGAGAAAGCAAATCACCCTATTATTAGTTTCTTTCAAATTCTTACTTTATCTTAAAATAGTCAACATACATTTTTAGTTAAAATGAATTAAAATTCATGTGGCTAAGACATGACATCAGTTGAAAAAAACTGAAGTTATTCCTAAAATGCATAATGCCAATTTGAGGTATTTGCTCTTTCAAAATAATCCTTGACTATATTTCAGCTTTATATTTCCAATGTCAAATACAGTTTTTGGTACAAGGAAAGAAGTCAAAAGTAACAAAATGTTAATTTGAAGTGGTTTTTTAAAAAAATATTTTACTTGAGATTACTAAAAAAGTACATAAACCATCTTTTTGTTCACATGCTTATTTTGACTATAATAAATTATGCTCTCCAAAAGCAAAATGTAGTATGTAATCACATCATAGTTACACATGGTTTTTGTGTGCGTGTGTGTGAACACAGCTTCTGTAAAATGGAGAAGTGTTGTCAGGGTTCAAAAAACACAAGAGTTCCACAGTTTTTTGCATGATATTCAATTACTAGGAAGTTTCACATTTCAATTCTCTGTAAGGAATTTTTATCTTATATTTACTTCCCAAACAAAATATATTTTTAAAAATATTTTTGTCCCCCAAAAATCTAACTTACAAATTGAGCAGAAACCCTTTTTTTCCCCTCCTGTACTTTGGACAACCGAACATTGGTAATGAATGTGGGAGAAACTACAAAGTTTCAAATTGTTTGAAGAAACAATTTGGAAATTCATAGAACTTATTAGAAATTACCAGAGAAATTAGAAAACCACAGAATACTTAAGAATAGTAACTAGGAAGCAATCAGCATTTTTTTTTTTTTGTCTATCACTAAACTCTAAAAAAAATGCTGAAATACATAAAGAACAAAGGCTTTAGAACAACTCAGAATATGATATCCTGCTACTTGCAGATGATTGCACTTGCCTCTCCAGATCCAAGCATTTCATTTCGCATTTGACCTTACTCCCATGTTAGTTTTGAAATCCCTGCAGTCACTTGATCAATCTACATCTGCTTCCTCAGAAAAAAAATTAGTTGTTGATGAATCCCTCCCCAAGACTTTACCACTTAGGATAAGTTTTATTGCCTTCCGAAACCATGGGTAAAAGAAAGCATATATCAAGGGATTCATAGCTGAATTATAATAAACACACCACACTAAAATCTCATAAACATAAGGAGGAGTTATAAAATTCATGTAAGCGTCAATCACAGCATCAATAATGTACGGTAGCCAGGAGACCAGAAACGCCGCCACCGCAATGCCCAATGTTTTCGCAGCCTTTCTCTCTCTCTTTGCTACTCGTTCCCTGTAACTCTCTGAAGACGACTGAGCTTGGCTAGCTGAACTTTCTATCTTCCTAGCCTGGCGTCTGGCCACCAAAAAGATCTTACCATATAGAAACACCATGGCGACAGTGGGTACAAAGAATAGAAGGAAACAAAGTAGAACCCAGCTTTGATTCAGGGATGCCTGACAGCCTCCCACACAGGTGAGAGCAACGACTAAGTCCTCGATTCCTTCCTCATCGGCCCCCGTGTAAAAGATGGAAAAACTGTATGTGACCGAAAAGAACCAAGAGAGAGCAATGCATAGGACTGACACCGAGACAGTAAACTTGATGGGATAGGTCAGAGGATCAGTAACCGCAATATATCTATCCACAGAGATACAGCATAAGTGAAATAAAGAAGCGAAACAGAAGCAAGTATCGAAACATGTGTGAAATTTACAGTAACTGTCCCCGAAGTACCAGCAGCTCTCCACAGACCTCACCGTGCTGAAGGGCATGGCGGTCACCCCCACCAGGAAGTCAGCGCAGGCCAGGGACGCGATCAGAAAGTTCGTAGGGGTGTGCAGCTGTTTGAAGTGAAGGATAGCGATAATGACCAGTAAGTTTCCAAACATGGCCAGCACAGCCCCCGAACCAAGGAGTGTGTACAGAAGGGCTCGGGGACCCGGCGAGTACGCAGTTTTAACACAGGATCCGTTCACGTTCTCATAGCAGAGCTCCACCGGGGCGGGTGGGGAGAGACTGTTCACCATTGCCCTCTTGGTGGTGGTATTTTTAAATGGTCGGATTCCCTATGTCAGCAATTTAAAACAAGGAGATGTTAGTTTCAAGAGCCTCTGGGAGGGGGGTAAAAAGTCCAGTTAAAAGGAAAACTAATAACTTTACCACCAATTTTTTTTTTTGGCATATTAACCTCTTGATCTTTCTAAAAAGTATCCCCAAGTTTTTAATATATTGAGATGGGAACTTGTTGCAGAAAGCCATTAGAATTGTAGTCAAATTTTGTACAAAATAAATAACTGGCAATGCATTTCGTCCAATGATATATGTACATACAAGATATTAGATTAATATTGTATAATATTAGATTAATATATATTAGAATGTAATTGGCTCATCACTAGAGAATCCTTTTTTGTATTACTTTACCTTTGGAAATCTCACCTGTAATCACCTGAGTTGAAAAATAATTGGGTTACCAAGGGTGGAGTTTTATTTATGAAGTTGTCTCCCCTGAGTGGCTACTTCAGCAGTAGTAACTATACTTCCTTTTTTGTTTTCAAGAAGGAAAAAAATAAATTACATCCCCTTCAATATATGACCTCAAAATCCCTATAGGATAGCATGTGAAAGACCAAGGAGAGATTTACTCATAGTAGCTTGCTAAACTTATTTGGGTAATACAGTTCTTCTATTCCTTATATCTTTAGAGTTTTGGGGTTTTTTCATCTTTTTTATATATTTGCGGTTTGGACAGTTTGAGATGACTTGGAGAACTACTCTTACAAAGTGATAACAATATAATTTGCATGTATTTTCCAGGATAATGACCATTTTCAGATGTCTAAAATTAATAAGATTTATTAAAATAAGCAATAACACCCCTAGGCCTTCACCTTCCCATTCTTAAAAAATACTTTAGTTTTAAACTTAGCACAGAGTAGTAGGTACCCTCTGGGTACACTGGAGAGGTATTTCTATGCTGATCATGAAAGAAATGGATTCATTCTAAATCACCCAAATTTCAAATAAGGTTAACTTTGTTTCTCTAGTATTTGAGGGTTATTCTTTTTCTCCTGGAGCACACAATCTTTTTTTCTTCCTTTTTTTTAAAAATAAATTCAATTAATTAACATATAATGTATTATTGATTTCAGAGGTAGAGGTCAGTGACTCATCAGTCTTATTTAATACCCAATGCTCATTATATCACGTGCCCTCATTAATGTCCATCCCCCGATTACCCCACCCCCCCACTTCCCTTCCCTCCAGCAACCCTCAGTGTGTTTCCTATGATTAAGAGTCTCTTATGGTTTGTGTCCGTCTCTGATTCTGTCTTCTTTTATTTTTTTCCTCTTTTCCCCTATGATCCTGTGTTTTGTTTCTTAAATTCGACATATAAGTGAGATCATATAATTGTCTTTCTCTGATGTACTTATTTTGCTTAACATAATACCCTCTAGTTCCACCTATATCATTATAAATGGCAAGATTTCTTTTTTTTAATGCCTGCATAATATTCCATTGTATATAGATACCACGTCTTCTTTATCCATTTATCTGTTGATGGACATCTGGGCTCTTTCCATCCTTTGGCTATTGTGCACATTCCTGCTATAAACATTGGGGTGCATGTGCTGAGACACGCAATCTTAAAACAGTTTGCAGATCTCACCAAACAATAGTTGAATAATTAATTTTTACTTTAATGAAAACATGTAATCTTACATCTAATCTTAATCAGAATCTCTGACCTAGAGACTGGAGTACTTATATTGTCATTTATCCCATCCCATAGGTCTGACCTTTGTTGAAAGTGCAGAATCCTAGAGAGGGCTGTAGGGGATGTGGATACTCCCAACTTAGTAGATTTCACTAGTCTGCACATTTTAAATGTTTGTGTGGGGGCAAATGGCGAATGCATACACACCCATGGTCTTTTCTAGCTTTGTTATTCCATGAGTTTTAAATCAATTCATTTTTTCTTTGATTTCCCAGTTTCCTGCTTTACTTAAGCCCTCACAGGTTTGATGGCATAAATCTATGTCTCATGTTTACTCCTGGGGTTCCCCACATGGGTGCATCCTTGTGCTCACAGGTCCATCTATCCAATAGAATGACCCTTTGATAAGCCTTGTATTTTCTTTTTTTTCCCTCCTTTTTTAAAAAAGGATTTTATTTATTTATTTGGCAGAGTGGCAGACAGAGGGATAGGGAGAAGCAGTCTCTATGCTGAGCAGGAAGGGCAATGTGGGACTCGATCCCGGGACCCAGGGATCATGACCTGAGCTGAAGGGAGATGCTTAGCTGACTGAGCCACGCAGGCACCCCATAAGCCCCATATTTTCTTCTTTGGCCTTAGCTCTCCTGGTGAAGTCTCCCAATTTCTTATTTTATTCTCAGTCTGACTTAAGGAATGTCATCACTCTGCCACCACAGAAAGCATCCAGCCTGAAAGTCTGAGTGTCTATGTAAACGATACTCTCTCCCCAACCTTTAGAACTCCTCACTTCATTGGTGCCCAAGTAATGTTGCTATTGTACAAAAAACCCTGAGCCCTTCTTCTGGTCTTCATACTCAGGCTTCAGCATAGCACACTTCAGTCTTACAAAAGATCTTAAAATGTGTCCTTCCCTAGAAGCAAAGACACTTGAATAGTAATGAACACTTCTAAGACCCACATCTTGGTGTTCAATACTTTTCACCAGTAAAATGAACTAGAGCTTCTTAAAGAAATGTGTCATCCAAGCAATGGGACAAGAAAAGTACAGGAAGAAATTGGAATATATTTTTCTACCAGAAACTAGGAGATTTTTTTTAAATGTTGACATTTTACAAGGACACTGTTGCTAACTTGAATAGACTCCACCAGCCAAATTGGGATAATCTGAGAGCACAAAATAGTGTGAGAGAGTAAAAGGTTATATATAGCAGGGTGGGGGGAAATCCATGAGGCCATACTAATGATAGATGACAAATAGCTAGACGGCTAGCTAGATAGATAGGTAGAGGAGAGATAGATGATAGATAGATAGATAGATAGATAGATAAAAGAGGGCTCTTCCTTACAAAAGAATACCAAGCACAACTGATACTTTATAGGGAGAGAAGTGTTACAGCTGGAACATCATAATTTTGAAATCATTAGTATTGATTAAAACAAGAATCATCAGTTGATGCTAAATATTGTAATAGGAGAGGGGAATTTTGATGAGAGTCGGGTATTTATATGGTATAAAATGTCATCTCCTAGAGACTGCTTATTAGCTGCAAAAGAAAAATATAGTAGCTATACAGTGGAGAAATCAGACCTTGACTGGGTATCAATTTTACATCATCTTGAAAAGGACGGGGCCACATATAACTCTGGAGGGATGCCCCGAGTAACACGCAATAAAATGTATAATAGTATTCCAGCCAAGAATACATTACCAGAATATAATGAAGAAATTTCAGACAAACCCAAGCTGAGAAACATTCTCTTTTTAAAAGGTGGAAAGGGGGAAGGCTATATTCTTCAGAAATATTTATGTAACAGAAGACTGCAGAACCTTTCCAGAATAAAGGAGACAGAAGGGCAAGACAATCAAAAGAAATATGCGAACTTAGAATGGAATGTATTACTGGGCCAGCTGACAAAACTGGAATATGAATGGTAGATAGTAAAAGTATTGCATCGCTATTAAATTACTGAACTATTAAGGGCTAAAGGGCTGTGATGTATACAACTTATTCTCAGATGGTTCGGGAAAAAAAATTACACACACGCATTGATAAAGCTGGAGAAAAAGAACAAACGTCAAAGCAAATAGAGCAAATGTTTAATCAGTGAACCCAGGTAAAGAGTACCCAGTGTGGTTCGTACAACTTTGTGTAGCTTTTCTGTGGGTTTAAAATGATTCCCAAATAAAAACTTTCTTTGGCAAAAGGCAATTTTGAAAATTTGGACCTTCAGTATCCTCTTTTTATTTATTTTTTACTTTTTTAAGGATTTTATTTATTTGAGAGCAGAGAGAGCACAGGAGGAGGGGTAGAGGGAGAGAGAGAAGCAGACTCCCCACTGAGCAGGGGCCCCCAATGCAGGTCTTGACCTCAGGGCCTTGGGATCATAACCTGAGTTGAAGGCAGACAGTTGACCAACTGAGCCCCTACAAGATGCCCCTCATATTGGGCTCCTAATGCTACCAGGCATAAAAGGAGGGTGGGATATTTGCTGCTGCAGCAATCACCCTAGGCTGGCTGGGCAGTGAGCACAGTAGAGGTTATAGCTAGAAACCTTGAGCCAGTGGCAAATGTTAAACCAAATGTTATTGGACTAACTTAGTCCGATAAAGGTAGGATTTCTAAAGGCTCCATTTTCTCAGAAATGGAGCACTACCACCAGAGTAGAGAAACCTAACCAGCTAAGGTCCTGGCTGAAGGCAAAGGAAAATGGAATTTGTGGTAGGAAAGAAAGAGAATATAAACATCCCCATGACCAATTGTAGAAAAGGGGATTGTTGCACTTAGCCTGATTTTCCCAGCTTCTTAATTGTAAAATGTGTATTGTATAATTACTTTTTTTTTTTTTAGATTTTCTTTATCTCTTTGACAGTGAGAGAGAACTCCCGCTTGAGAGTATACACGCACAAGCAGGGGGAGTAGCAGGCAGAGGGAGAGGGAGAAGCAAGCTCCCTGAGGAGTAGGAAGAGGGATATGGGGCTCGATCCCAAGGTGCTGGGATCATGGCCTGAGCCAGAGGCAGATATGTAAGTGACTGAGCCATCCAGGGGCCCCTATGATTACTTTTTTCATTTATTTTATCTCCATCTAATTTCACTACTTTATATAGGGTATATTAGTGGTGTTTAACTTTATAATTTAATCTGTAAGTTATTGACTATTGAGAGAGTATTGTATGTTATCCAGAAATCATAAACTTGGAGCTGGAAGCAATAATTAGGAGGACTAACTTGCCACTTGTGTAAGAGGTGAATGTGTGTTGGGTTATATAAGGAATATTATGTGAAGAGAAAAAAGAGCACTTTGAAAT